CGGTGATAAACCATACAAGTCAATCAGCATGCTGAAATGAGAAACCAAAAAATGACAGTTTAATGATTCATTTAAATATTGTAAGTGAGGCCAACTTCTACCATTAAACTGCCCTAGTGAATTCAGCACAAGGAGAATGAAGATCCAGGGCATTCCGATATTGAAAACTGGTCCTGCAAGCAGTACGAGACCCTCATTTAAATAAAATATTCCAATTACGAAATGATTCCTGTATCCATTCCTGATGCAAACCAGCTCACCTAAACCAATATATCAGTCAGCAAACTCCTCAGTGAAAAAGTTTCTATGCTTCCTGCCCACAATATTGTGACCTGAGCAAGCCAGTTAACAGCTAAATGAATGAGAACTGTGCACCAGATCCATGGTCCCATGTTTTGGAGGAATCAAATTTTAATAACATAATATAACCAATTTAGTTTAAATCATTTTCTGTGGCTAAATAGAGAGCAGTGAGAAATTGACAGTAAGAATGCAGAGGTCATATGGCAGGTGACAAAGATGATGACTTCAGATTTCTCAATTTTAACTGGAAATTGCAGCTGTACGAATACTCAACATCAGACAAGCACAACACCAGGGTGCAAAAGACCGAAGTTGAACTATAGTCCTTAAAATAAATTTTAGGAATTTTAATAACAACAACAGCTTGGCAGTGAACAGGGGTCTCTGTAAATTCAATGTTGGCTATCCCACTGGAGTGAAAAATCTTGAAACTAGTGAAATGGTTGGTTATTTTATATAAGAAGCTAATAGCACAAACTATGTCATATTTCAGCCTGGAAAGTAGTCACAGATCTTTAGTTGAGATACATTTCATTGTAATTCTCAATAAGATCAGCCTTTACAAAAATTCCAACAACACCCTCTCCTCCATACCCTTGCCAAAATATGCGACATTTTCTGAGAGAATTTAATAGCTTGCTTTCTGTTCAGAGAAGCAAAGAATTCAGATGCCACAAAAATTAAATTTAGGACATTCAATTATTCTACATTAGCAATACAGTAACGCATTGCATTTGAAACACTATAACATTCCTAAAGTAGTGCAAGGACTAGTTTCCAAATCACCTTGTAAGAAGGGGCAAATTAGGGACCAAAAGGGGGATTTCTGAACAAAGACAGAGAGCATAGATAAGGTACTAAATGAATACTTTCTATCTGTCTTCACCAAGAAAAAACATGCTTACCAAAGCCATAGTGACACAAGGTAGTTGTGTCACTGGACAGCTTAAAATTAATAAACAGAAAAATCTGGCTGTACTTAAATTTACCAAGATGAGAATACCTGAAACCAAGGATACTTGGGGAAATAAGTGTGCAAATTGGAGAGACACTGATCACACCATATTTCAATCTTTCTCAAGTATGGATGGTGCCGAAGGATGGGATAATTGCATAGTTACACTCTTGTTAAAGAAAATGGTTTAAGGATAGATATTTTCTAATCAAATTGCTGAGAGATGCTATTACATGCCTCTGAAGCACATCGGTTTTGAACCTGGGCCTCCTGGCCCAGAAGGATTCAATGATAAGTTGAGCAACTATAGGCCAGTCAGTTTAACCTTCATGGTGGTGAATATTTTCCAAATGAGAATTGGGACAAAATTAATAGCCACTTAGATCAGGTAAATGAACTAAGGAAAACCAATTTAGATTTTTAATGACTAACTGCGCTTAAGTAACTTGATTGAGTTTACCAATGAGCATCATGTTGTTGATCTGATGCAGATGAGCTTCCAAAAAGGCATTTGATAAACAACTACATAACAGGTAAAATTAAACCTCATGGAATAAAATGGATATCAAAGGCCTCGGTTCAAGTCCCACCTGCTCCAAATGTATATTATAATATCTCTGAACAGGTTGATTGGAAAGTATCAAAAATGGACATTGGATGAAAACAAAACTGGCTCAGTATTGGGAAACAGAGTAGTGGTGAATCGTTGCTTTTGGGACTGGAGGGAGATATGAAGTGGGATTCCCCAGGATCAGAACTGGCACCATCACTTTTCTTCATCTGTTAAATGACCTGGACATGGTTGTACAAAGCATAAATTCAACAGTTGAAGATCACACAGCATTTTGAAGTATAGTGAACTGCAAGTATGAGAGATAGATTTCAGAGGGGCATAAGTTGGTGGAAAGGGCTAATAAGAGGCAGGAGAAATTCAGTGCAGAGTCTTGTAAAACAATAGCTTTTTGGACGAATTAAGGGGGGCCATATGAAATAAAGGGTACAATACTAAATGGTGCAGAAGCAAAGGAAATTTAAGGTATACGTACGCAAATCATTAAAAGGTGACACGACAGGTATGTTAATAAGACACATGGGATCTTAAGCTTAATAAATAAAGGGGTGCAGTACAAAAATAAGGAGATTATGGTGAGCCCGTATCAAACACTACTTCAGTATCAACTTGAGTATTGCGGCCAATTCTGGGCATCACACTTTTGGACAAATGTCAATGTACCAGAAAAGGTGCAGAAAAGATTTACAAGTATGGCTCCAGGGATGAGGGACTTCAGTTTAAAGGATAAATTGGAAAGGTCTGGGCAGCTCTCCTTACAAGAGGAGACAGGACATTTGATACAAGTGTTCAAAATCATAAGGATTCTGGACAGAGCACATGGGGAGAAACAGGTTCTCACTCCTCCCCCAATGGGAATAGAAGGCACCAATTTTAGGTGAATGGCAAAAGAACCAATGGCAACATGAGAATAAACTTTTCATGTGAGAGATTAGGATCTGCAATGTACTGTCTGAGAGTGTGGTGGAGGCAGATTCACTCGAGTGATTAGGGTCTGGAAATGCATAGAGAGTGTAGTAAAGGCAGATTCTATCAAGACTTTCAAAAAGGGATTAGATAATTATTTGAAGAAAAAAAATGAAGGGCCTCAGAGAAAGTGCGTGTGAGTCAGACTAGCTGAATTATTCTTGCAGAGAGCCAGAAGAGACGTGACAGCCAAATGACCTCCTTCAATGAGGTAACTATTCTAAGATTCTATATCCTATTTGATCTTTCAGTAAAATCAATGCAATTGCTCATTCCAGATCCAGCACAATTCAAATGCCACATTCAAATTTCTGTGACACACTTAAAAATTAAGCAATTCATCATTTGAGATAGGCAATAATTTTCCAGCAACAGACCACAGTGGAATCATAATACCAGCTGCCTGTTTCAAAAACTGTGACTGGCAATTAAACAATAAAGTCAGAGTTGTGAATTACAACCCAAATAGTAAGATTTGTAGCTCGGGTTGTGAATGAGGTTGCAGACTGGCTTGCCGAGCTGGTGTGTTTGATTGCAGATGTCTTGTTACCCTGCTAAGGAGCATCATCAGTGCACCTCCGGTGAAGCGTTAGTGTCCTGTCCCGCTTGTGATTTATATACCTCGGTTTGCTGGGGTGGTTGGCATCACTTCCAGTTCTGTTTTTTAGTGGTTTGTATATTGGGTCCAGTTCAATGTGTTTGTTAATGGAGTTCCAGTTGGAGTGCCAGGCCTCCAGGAATTCCCTGGCATGTCTCTGTTTAGCTTATTATGGGTGTGTTGTCCCAGTCGAATTCGTGTCCTTCTTTTCCTGCATCAGAACACAATTCAAACGAACCACAACACACTGTAGCAACCCGGAATTGCACAAAGCAGAACAGGAGCACTTATACAGAGTTTTTAAAAGGAATGGATACCCAAGAAGCACAATCCGCCATTACGTCTGCGACAGACCACAACAAGAAGACACAACGTGACCAGACGCACTAGTCACCCTACTGTACGTTAGAGACATATCAGGGATGACCATAAGACTACTCAGACCCCTAGGTATCAGGGTAGCTCACAAACCAACAACCACCCTGCGACAGCCACTGACGAACGTAAAGGACCCCATACCCACAAGCAATAAAACTAATGTAATCTACTAAATTCCACGCAAGAACTGTGAGAAACATTACATAGGCCAAACTGGAAGAAAACTGATAATAAGGATACATGAACACCAACTAGCCACCAAGAGATATGACCAATTCCCACTGGTCTCAATACACACGGACAAAGGAGGACATGAATTTGACTGGGACAACACATCCATAATAGCACAAGCCGAACAGAGATATGCCAGGGAATTCCTGGAGGCCTGGCAATCCAACTGGAACTCCATTAAGAAACACATTGAATTGGACCCGATATACAAACCACTGAAGAACAGAACTGGAAGTGGTGCCAACCGCACCAGCAAACCGAGGCACATAAATAACAAGTGGGACTGAACACCAGTGCTTCCCCAGAGGCGCACTGATGATGTTACCTAACAGGGTGACGAAACATCTGCAATCAAACACACTGGCTTGGTGAACAAGTCTACAACCTAAATAGTAACTCATCCAATGTTTACTTATCAACAAATGGCTTTACAACCTTAAAAGTTTCATCTGTGTAGCAGAATACTACATTGTGCTTTACAAGTCATAAAATAATATTGCTTCACACTTACAGTAAACACTGCCACAAGACATCGTTTAGTATTATCACCATGGCATGACTGAGATGGTACGGCTGCTAGTGAAACATTGCTTCTGACACCAAAAGCAGTTTGAGTTCATGGGAAGGAATTAGTTGAATGAAAGAAAGCAGCAGAGGGTGTCATGTAATGGAAGAGCCAGGGTGCAAGGTGTTAATACTGAATGGAGTGCCTCAGGGTTTGCTGATGGGGTTCCTGCTGTTTCTGATCTACAGCAACAGTTGAAGACACAGAATCCTCATGTAAACTGGTTATGTTTGCTGATGATACTAATTACAGAAATTGGCTGTGGAAAGAGATGAAGCACCCAGGGACCTAAAATAGCAATTAGATAAAATGTGCAATTGGGATAATCAGCTAAATACCAGGAAATGCTTGGAACAAATATAGAGTCAGCAATGTCATCAGGGGTCTGCTTTGATTTGACACTGTCCTAGTAACTACAATGTAAAACTGTTACCTCATTCAGCTGTTTGTTGCGAGTTGGTGTTATTGATTGGATGGCTGACTGTTTACTTGCTGCTTTTAAAGCTGCATCCCTCCTCGCCTGTTCCAGAAGGAGTCTTGCTCGCTCTTTCAATTCTTCCTGTCTTGTTGCCATTCTCTGTTTAAAGATAAAAACAAATGTAAAATTTATTAAAATCTGTTTGTTTTACAATGAACACATCAGTAAGCAATATTCTTTTTACAGACATTATTATAAAAGTGCAACTGTGTTATAAATTGCTCGAAATACCAAAAACTATTTAACGTTGGGTAGGTTTTCCCAGGTAACCTCAATCAAGGTTTTAGTTCAATTGCAAACTATTATGTATGCAATAAATCAACCAGATCATAATTATTTTTTCCACTTTTTGTTAATAAAGGGACTGCTAAAAACACCTAGTGAACGGCTTCGCAGTATAGAGGTATATGATCTGAAAATGATTGCCTAGCAATACAGTTCCACAACTGTGTTGCACTGTAGAAGGAAAGCAGACCTTGGATTGACAAACATTTCCACATTCAGCATCCACTAGCCACGGATCTTTTACTGGGAGGAAAATAAAATCATATTTCATTCTGCTCCTATTCATCTACAATAACTAGGCACTATTTATTCATTCAAGGGTTGCAAACGTCACAGGTTAGATATTTATTGCTAGCTGCCTTGAGAAGGTGTGGTGAGCTGCATCTTGAATCACTGCACTCCATGTGATGTAGGTGCGCCCACAAAGCTGTTCAGAAGGGATTTCCAGGATTTTGACCCAGTGACAGTGAAGAAACAGCAATATATTTCCAAGTCAGGATGGTGAGAATTGGAGAGGAACTTGCAAGAGATGGTTCTCCAATTCATCCGTTGCTCTTGTCCTTCTTGTTAGATTGTGTGTGTGTTTAGCAGGTGCTGTCTATGGAGACTTGGTGGGTTGTTTTAGTGCATCCTGTAGATGGTACATGCTGGTGCCATTGTGCATTGGTGATGGAGAGAATGAATATTAATGCTGTTAGTTGGGATACCAAGCAAATGGGCTGCTTATTCCGGGATGGTGTCAAGTTTCTTGAGTGTTGTGGGAGCTGCACTCATTTAGCAAGGCAGGGAGTATTACATCACACTTCTGACTTGCGCTTGGTAGATGGTGGACAGGCTTTGGGAAGCAAGAGGTGAGCTGTTCATCATAAATTCCTAACCCCTAACCTTCCCTTGTAGAAAAGTGTTTACATTCCAGTTTCTCTTCGATGGAGCACTTTAGCTATAAAGAGGGACTGCATAAGCTAGGGATGTTTTCTTTAGATCAGAGAAGGCAGTTAGGCATCCTGAGGTATATAAGATTATGAGGGGAATGGAAAGCATGAATAGAAAGCAGCTGCTTCCCCTAGTTGTATAGTCAATAACAAGGAAGCATAATTTTAAGGTGAAAGGCTGGAGGTTTACAGGGGACTTGAGGAAATTACTTTCAACCAGAGAATGGTGGGAAGCTGAAATGCACTGTCCGGGAGAGTAGTTGAGATGGAAGACGTCACAACTTTTAAAAGGTACTTGGATGAGCACTTGGAATGTCATAATATTCAAGGCTGTAGGCCCAGTGCTGGTAAGTGGGCCTAGTGCAGATTTAGAGTAGGTTTTGTTTGTACGGACATGGTGGGCCTCTTCTATACTGTACGATTTGATGATTCAAAGTGAGACCCACAGGCATTAGAACATAGAACATAACAGCGCAGTACAGGCCCTTCGGCCCTCGATGTTGCACCGACCTGTGAAACCAGTCTGAAGCCCATCTAACCGAAACTATTCCATTATCATCCATATGTTTATCCAATGACCATTTCAGTTGTTTGAGCGGTGGGAGTCCGGGAGGAAGCGCGAGGGCAGCCTGGGAAGGTGAGCTTTTGGGTTATAAAAGTCTTACCTCGCGTGACTGCGGCCTTTCAGTTGTTTGAGCGGCGGGAGTCCGGGAGGAAGCGCGAGGGCAGCCTGGTAAGGTAAGCTTTTGGGTTATAAAAGTCTCACCTCGCGTGACTACGGCCTTTCAGTTGTTTCAGCGGCGGGAGTCCGGGAGGAAGTGCGAGGGCAGCCTGGTAAGGTAAGCTTTTCGGTTATAAAAGTCTCACCTCGCGTGACTGCGGCCTTTCAGTTGTTTCAGCGGCGGGAGTCCGGGAGGAAGCGTGAGGGCAGCCTGGGAAGGTAAGCTTTTCGGTTATAAAAGTCTTACCTCGCGTGACTCCATTTTTGGAGTAAGTGAGGGAATATATTTGGGCGGTTGCTTTACCCGAAACACTACCGAGGTAGTGTCTCCCACCCATCCTCCTCCTCTAACCAAAAAAAAGGTTCTGAGCGCTGATTTGGTAAGGCTACTAGTATTTTTTTTTAATTTGTCTGTTTGGGAATTCAGAACAGTGGGAATGGATGTTAGGGCAGTTGTATGCTCCTCCTGTAGAATGTGGGAGGTAAGGGTCACCACTAGTGTCCCCACTGACTTCTTCTGCGGGAAGTGCACCCAACTCCAGCTCCTCGGAAACCGCGTTAGGGAACTGGAGCTGGAGCTGGATGAACTTCGGATCATTCGGGAGGCTGAGGGGGTAATTGAGAGGAGTTACGGGGAGGTAGTCACACCTCAGGTACAGGAAAAAAGTAGATGGGTTACAGTCAGGGGACGGAAAGGGAACAGGCAGACAGTGCAGGGATCCCCTGTGGCCGTTCCCCTCAAAAACAAGTATACCGTTTTGGAGATAGTAGGAACTGCAGATGCTGTAGAATCCGAGACAACAAGGTGCAGGGCTGGATGAACACAGCAGGCCAAGCAGCATCATAGGAGCAGAGAGGCTGACGTTTCGGGCCTAGACCCTTCATCAGAAAAGGGGGAGGGGATTTGGATACTGTTGGGGGGGACGACTTACCAGGGGTAAGCCATGGGGTACAGGTCTCTGGCACAGAGTCTGTCCCTGTTGCTCAGAAGGGAAGGGGGGAGAGGAGGAGAGCATTAGTCATTGGGGACTCCAGTTAGGGGGACAGATAGGAGATTCTGTGGGAACGAGAGAGACTCGCGGTTGGTGTGTTGCCTCCCAGGTGCCAGGGTCCGTGATGTCTCGGATCGTGTTTTCGGGATCCTTAAGGGGGAGGGGGAGCAGCCCCAAGTCGTGATCCACATAGGTAGGAAAAGGGATGGGGACGTAAGGCAGAAATTCAAGGAGCTAGGGTGGAAGCTTAGAGCTAGAACAAACAGAGTTGTTATCTCTGGTTTGTTACCTGTGCCACGTGCTAGCGAGGCGAGGAATAGGGAGAGAAAGCAGTTGAACACGTGGACACAGGGATGGTGCAGGAGGGAGGGATTCAGATACCTGGACAATTGGGGCTCATTCTGGGGTAGGTGGGACCTCTACAAACGGGATGGTCTACACCTGAACCAGAGGGGTACCAATATCCTGGGGGGGAAATTTGCTAATGCTCTTCGGGAGGGTTTAAACTAATTCAACAGGGGGGTGGGAACCTGAATTGTAGCTCCAGTGTACAGGAGGTTGAGAGTAGTGAGGTCATTAATAAGGTTTCAAGGTCGCAGGAGTGTACCGGCAGGCAGGAAGGTGGTTTGAAGTGTGTCTACTTCAATGCCAGGAGCATCCGGAATAAGGTGGGTGAACTTGCAGCATGGGTTGGTACCTGGGACTTCGATGTTGTGGCCATTTCGGAGACATGGATAGAGCAGGGACAGGAATGGTTGTTGCAGGTTCCGGGGTTTAGATGTTTCAGTAAGATCAGGGAAGGTGGTAAAAGAGGGGGAGGTGTGGCATTGTTAGTCAAGGACAGTATTACGATGGCAGAAAGGACATTTGATGACAACTCGTCTACTGAGGTAGTATGGGCTGAGGTTAGAAACAGGAAAGGAGAGGTCACCGTGTTGGGAGTTTTCTATAGGCCTCCGAAAAGTTCCAGAGATGTCGAGGAAAAGATTGCAAAGATGATTCTGGATAGGAGCGAAAGTAACAGGGTAGTTGTTATGGGGAACTTTAACTTTCCAAATATTGACTGGAAACGCTATAGTTCGAGTACTTCAGATGGGTCAGTTTTTGTCCAATGTGTGCAGGAGGGTTTCCTGACACAGTATGTAGATAGGCCAACAAGAAGCGAGGCCACATTGGATTTGGTACTGGGTAATGAACCAGGCCAGGTGTTAGATTTGGAGGTAGGTGAGCACTTTGGTGATAGTGACCACAATTCGGTTACGTTTACTTTAGCGATGGAAAGGGATCGGTATATAACGCAGGGCAAGAGTTATAGCTGGGGGAAAGGCAATTATGAGGCAATGAGGCAAGATTTAGGATGCATAGGATGGAGAAGGAAACTGCAGGGGCTGGGCACAATTGAAATGTGGAGCTTGTTCAAGGAACAGCTACTGCGTGTCCTTGAGAAGTATGTACCTGTCAGGCAGGGAGGAAGTGGTCGAGCGAGGGAACCATGGTTTACTAAAGAAGTTGAATCTCTTGTCAAGAGGAAGAAGGAGGCTTATGTAAAGATGAGGCGTGAAGGCTCAGTGAGGGTGCTTGAGAGTTACAAGTTAGCCAGGAAGGACCTAAAGAGAGAGCTAAGAAGAGCCAGGAGGGGACATGAGAAGTCTTTAGCAGGTAGGATCAAGGAAAACCCTAAAGCTTTCTATAAGTATGTCAGGAATAAAAGAATGACTAGAGCAAGATTGGGGCCGGTCAAGGACAGTAGTGGGAAGTTGTGCGTGGAGTCCGAAGAGATCGGAGAGGTGCGAAACGAATATTTTTTGTCAGTATTCACACAGGAAAAAGACAATGTAGTCGAGGAGAATACTGAGATACAGTCTATTAGACTAGACGGGATTGAGGTTCATAAGGAGGAGGTGTTAGCAATTCTGGAAGGTGTGAAAATAGATAAGCCCCCTGGGCCGGATGGGATTTATCCTAGGATTCTCTGGGAAGCTAGACAGGAGATTGCAGAGCCTTTGGCTTTGATCTTTATGTCGTCATTGTCTTCAGGAATAGTGCCAGAAGACTGGAGACTAGCAAATGTTGTCCCCTTGTTCAAGAAGGGGAGTAGAGACAACCCTGGCAATTATAGACCAGTGAGCCTTACTTCGGTTGTGGGTAAAGTGTTGGAAAGGATTATAA